ATGATGATGATGATGATGATGATGATGATGATGATGATGATGATGATATAGGCTTGCAGGCCTTTCCATCTCTAAAAAAGGGATGATCTTCTCAACACCGACGGCTCGTCACAGGCTTCCTGCGACAGACCCGAGGGATCTTGTTTTTCATGGCGGCCCTCACGTCGGGTTTACCTTTTGGTTTGCGTTCGTTTCACGCCATATTCTTAGCATACCACATCATCATCCAGGACCTTCAAAGGGACCTTTTGATATCCCAGGATGAGGTCACTTAGGCCCGTAAAAGGCCACTTACAGACTCCAAAGTGATCACTTAGAAGCTCCTGGATATATGAGTCCTGAATTGTGAAAGACACACAAAAATGCCAAAGACCGAAGGGATAATGATGTGGATCTGAAACTGATCGTTGGAACGAGGGACTGGCCCTGGTATTCTTCCGGTTCTATGTATTATGATGTATTCTGTATTAATGTATTGTATAAACCTTTTCCTTGGCGAATCGCTTGAGTCTATGTTGAATCCACACGCACCAGACAGCATCTGACTCTCAAGTGGCCAAGCGCCAAGCGCTTTTTCCTCACAAAAAGGTTGCCAAATGTAGCTTAGATCATCCTAGATCTACATCGGCGTTGTGAACCTTGCTTGGAAGACTTCCAAGCATGATCAGTGCTGTGCTTGGACCCTTGACCCTTGATTCTTCCAAGACATATTATTCAACAAAAGGTTCATGAGTACAAAAACACCATCCTAGTATATCCTAGTCATCCTCATTCGCTTTACCGCCTGACATTGACCTGGATGATCCCATCCTTTCCCGCCACAAAGACCCGCAACTGCTCAGAGCTCGCTATGCTCGCCGCTCCTTCTCGCCCAAGGCGCGCGTGCGCACGGATCAGTTCCGAGAGCTCCGAAGGGTTCGCGGCCTTCTGCAAAAGCACAGTGAGCTCTTTCTTGGAGGGGCTCCTGGACGACCCTGGGAGGTGAATAGGACCACGATGGATAGACCGTGTTGGGAGCTAGAGAAGATAGATGATGGAGACAGTTAAAGCGTGTTTTTCAGCCCTCGGTTGTTGATAAAGATGGGGCATTGTTAAAGCCTGCCAAGTAATTTCTTATCTTTCTTTCGCCCCAAGCACACAACAAACAGCCAGCATAATCCAAAAAGGATCCAAAAAGGATCCAAATATGACACCAGAAAGGTGTGAGACGTCCAGCGACTAAGAGACCCAATGAGAGACCCTTCAGCAACCGCAGGGAGGCAAAACGACCCAAAGGACCGGGGCAACCAAGAAACACCGAGACTAGGGAAAGCAAAGGTTTTGACTTCAGAATCCAGAATCCATATGATGTTTCTTTTGATGCAAGGGGTAGGTGAGTTAGTAGGGCTGGCCCCAACCTTCCAACAACCTGGCTGGATCTATATCTAGGGCCTCTTGGTGCATCAGATGCCCAGTCCAGGGTATTTTCTTCGACCCGTCCTGGTGCCCTCCACGCCCCAGGCAGGCACCGCAGGCACCGCAGGTCCGGAGAAGGCTCTCTGAAGGAGCCGCATCTGAAAGAAACCATCCTGTTGATGGACAAGAGTTGCTGTACACTTTTTTGGACTTCAGGTGCCAAAACCAGAATCATCTCCATGTCATATCCTAGACATCTATCATCTATATATACATATCTCACATGTCTATAAGAATACTCTTGTGTGTTTGAACAGGGTGCGCTGTTGAAGCCAGGAAGGTGGATGATTGATCTCTAATTGGTCGATCTGAGGCGATCTCATGCGGGAACTTCAATGTTCACAAAGGGGCCGAGCAGGGTCTTTGACAGATTTGGACACGGTCACGTCACCGTCTATCAGCAGGTCCGGTCCCAGCAGGATCTCCTCCTGGTCTTTCTGGCTGATTGGGGGTCTGTCTGTATAGGACCCATTCATCGTTCGCACGTGAATGTTGGACAGGAGGAAGGTCCCATGTTTAGAGGTTTCTTGGGCCGCTCCCGGAAGCGGAGGTGTTCGAGGTGTCTTGGGCGGAATGAAGAGCGAGTCCCTTGGGCTGGTCATCCGTCTAGTCTGATGATGTTCATCCACCGAGCCAGCGGCTGCACGGACGACGACAACTAGCAAAGCAGCCCGCGGAGCTGTCTTATATGGTCAAACTTCAACAACAGCATATGGTGATCCAAAAATCTGAGAAACGTCAACCCCCTCTGCACATGTTTGTCTAAGTTGATGTGCTTGGGGCACCAGCATGTGCACCTTCACAAAAAGATTTGCAAAGGAGAACGAAGAATGAACAAGTGAAGAAGATGCCCTGCAAACGTGCATGGACATGGCATGAAAAATTATGGGGATATTCATCGCCACCATTTTTGTCGGTCCATGAATGGCACTAAGGGGAAGAGTGAATGGCCTATTCGTCAACCTGGGTGATACACCCCAAACAAGTGTTATTAGTTTAAGGCCATAGGGTCATAAGCACGATCAGCTGCCGCCCTAAAAAAAACAAATAACCCGTGCGAACAGCTGCCGCCACCATTGACCAGTGGTTAGAGAAACCCTTCTTCTCACATCTGGGCTCTTAGTGGCATTGAAGTTCCTCAAAGTCGATCGAAGATCCTGGAAAAACTATCCCAAACAATTAATCTATATATGGCAGAATTTACCGATCAGTTGGGGTGGTTGACCTGGGGTCAATTTAGGCAAAGATTCAATCCATGGCGCGTCTGGGTATTACATTACATAAATATGAAAAATACATATCCGACCACATCAAAATACCTCAACGATCCGCATCGAAAGCGCGCCAGCCTGCTTCCAAAATCCCACCACCGTCCCGTCCCTCCCGTCCTCCTCTTCCAGCCCACCCACCCATCCGTGCGCCCCGGAGACGGTCACCGAGTGGAGTGCCGCCCAAGGCCCACCTGCTCGGCCAGGCGGAAGAGCACCAGCGCGAACTCGCCGCCCGGTGCCAGCAGGGCCGAGGCCTTTCGTGCGGAGCGGCGGAGCGGAGGGGACGGACCGGGACGGTGGAGGGAAACACCAGGAGTTGGAAGTGGAGTTGGAAGCAGATCCTTCTTCCAAAGGGACCGACCTAAAGGGGGCGAATTCATGAACTTGGCCAAGTCTACAGAAACTACATGGCCATTGGTTGTACATAATGAGTCGTGTATTTCTGCTATTTGGGCTGTCGTTTTCCTTTCGAAGGTCCGAATCTCTTCAAGGCTGTTGATCGGCGCAGGCATTGGCAGTAACCACTGCCAGTGTTTACCCCAAAAGCCTGAGGCTTCCCCCACCACCACCCACATTAGATGGAACATGAATAGGTGTGGGGGGGGTCATCCACCCTTTGGGTGGTTCTGGTCAGGAGTCCTTTTGTTGCAAGAATCCTTAGGATATTTTAGGGTCGCTCAACAAGGTGAACACGTCCCGCGTCGCAGATCTATTCGCCCCAGTTCCAAGAAGTGTCGATTAAGGGGAAGCAAATGCATTTCTTTGGCATTGAGTGGTGCGTGAGAACCTCAATGCATGCTCCGCTGCTTGAGAAAGCAGCCACCAGCCCCTTCTTTTGAACCCGGAAGTGGAACGAAAACCATGAAGAGTCCTTTTCTTCCGGATCAATGGTGATCAATTGCAGCCATGGGCATTTATATAAGACTACTCCCCCAACCACATCTTCCACGGCCCAACGGCTCTTTGAGGTCCAACACCTCATCATCACCAATTCGATCCACCTCCCAACCCTCCACCGCCCTCCACCCTCCGCGCAAGGTCCAGGTCCGCATGTTCGGGGGGCACCGACCTGGATGGATGCGGCCAAGGAGAGCTTGCTGGGCCGGCTCAACGCCACCACCACCAAGGTCTGCCGACGCGGTCGAGACACACGCGACGCGGTCGGATCCGTCGTCGCGACGAGGTCGACCGCGCGGGCTGGGGCCGGGCCGGGTGGGTTCGTTTTGACGACGTGTGGTGATGATGTGTCCGTGGCGGCAGGCGCGGGGAATGCGACGAGCTCTTCAGGGTTGGGTTGGGAGTATCAAGGTCCCGAATACCTGGATCTTCCAACTGTGCCAAAGTTCTGCTTTTTGGCTGCTCAATGGATGAAAAGGCTCGAAATGCATCGCATTTGGAAGATCCAGGAAAATCAGCCCCGCCAGCTAGGTGAGGTCTTTGTCCTCGGTCGCACATCGAGGCACCTTGACCAGGAGCAACACCAAGAGCAACGGGATCACCGTGAGCCAATGATTGGCCTCGGACGGTCACCGGGCCGAGGACCCACGCCAGCGCCATCACGTTGAGCTCCCGGAACACGTCGGGCGTCCTTGACGACTGCACGGGTCGTGCACGACTGCACCGTGCCCTAGAGTAGGAGACCTGTTTACGTAGGGTAGGGTAGTCGAACGCCAGGACACAGGACAGCAGAAAGGCCTGGGCTTGGGCGTGCAAGGCCTCCGCCGTCGCCGGAATGGACCGCACTACTTCAGCCCGACACCTCAAGCTTCCCAAGACACCTCCAATGGGACTGGCCTATGACTCCCATGGGATTGGCCCATGACTCCCATAGGACTGGCCCTAAACCGGCTCACTGGAGGCTCCCAGGTGGAACCACTGCCTTCCCTGCATGGAGTTGCTTACTCCCGCGCAATTGCCCTTGCAGCATCAGGCAGCCTTGTCATAAGGGGGCCCCTCAAAAGATCCCAAGACTCCATGTACTGGCATAGTTTTGTCTACAGTCTACATTGAGATGGTGGAATTCCCTCACTTTTGGGTTGAAGGGGCATTCCAAACCTTCCAGTCCCGGCCTTGTCATGTCATGTCTCGGGAACACCTCCAACATCCAACCGCAAACGCTTCCGGAGGTGAAGCACCCGGCTCAACCAGCTCTGGGTTCGCTGACGATCAGCTGCACATCGAAGGAAAAGCCCACGGTGACCTGGAAGACTCGACGATCCAGGAGTTGAAATGAACGAGCTTGAGCTTCCAGCCCTTTCCACTCCATGGATCATGTATGGATCATGTGTGAAACATGATGGAATGGAATATGTATGAAACATCATTGGGATAAAATAGCGACTGTTTTGTCTATGATCATGTATGGAGTCAGGCGTGTTGCCGGGCTTCTGCACTCCCGGCATGTTCTTCAGCTGAGATGCAAAGAAGAGGCCCAGCAGCATCCCGCGAAAGGGTGCGATGTCCGCCTGCTCCCCCAGCAGGAGCAGGATGTGTGGCGGTTGAGGGTCATGTTAGGTGTTTTCACCGATCTAGATCCAACCAGGTCAATACTACAGCGACAAACTGCCTTTTTGGATCCATGGTGATGGCCTCACGACCAGCCCAACGACCAGCTACAAAGAGGTGAAATCAATCGATCAGCAAGTCACGGACTTGTGGTGGAATTCTTTAGTTGGATGTCACGCACCTTCTAGCAGCCCGAATCATAACCCCTTTCATAACCCCTTTGTGTTGGTCCCGACCTGGAGTCGCTTTTCGCGGTTTGCAATTGCTAGACCTTGATCCCATGTTCTACATGTAATTTGTGTCCATCAAACGCATCAAACCATGGCCTTTTGATGCCTTTTGCAACCCCCAAATCTGCCGAAACTCGTGTCATGTCTCAGCCTCGCCCGATCCAATCCTCCCCCAAGAACAGGTTTGCCCAGCCTGCCCCCCTCACTCTACAGATAGGCTATGATAGGCTCAACCAACTGCTACATGTTGGCTCGCTCCAACAAACCCTATCTATGGGTCAAAGCCAAAGCCCTACTTAGATGCTGCTTGCTGAGCCTTGGGCATTAGCAGTTCAGAAGTTCATCCACCAAACTACTCGTGCTCGATGACTCTAGCATATTGGCATATTTTAGAAAAGGGAAGACGTGTGACATATATGTGTGTGTATGCACCACCTGAGCTAAGAATAAGGTGGCGCAAAACTTCCTCCAAAAGCTGCCCTTGGATGTCATTTTTCTGGACGCCCTGACAGTGCTGGCGTGAACACCAATCTGACGTGGGTCACGATCCTGTGCGGAGCTCAGAACGCTCGGAACTGCACTAATCTAAGCGAAATCGCACATGGGACATGGGTCAAAGAAAATCCAGGCTGGCACATGGGAACAGATCTCTAGGCTGGCCAGTCTCACAAAGAAAAGACACACAAACGAAATCAGCTCATTAGCTAAATACTACTATACTTGGCTACACCAAGTCTAAAAATTCAGTCTATAGTCTATCGCAGGAACATCGGAAAAACAAATAAAAACGACGAGCTCAACGTCTGATGCAACAACTTTGACAAACCAATCAAGTCTTTGACCCAATTTTCTCATGTCCACAGGAGATGAGGACACTTGCTTTGAGGTCCTGCATTGTGGCGGAAGCCTGTCACTTGATCTGACGATCCCAGATAGGGTCTCTTGCAAAAGGATGCTCTGAGTATGTCCTGTCCATCATCGATCATGGCATATCATATCATACTTTGAATCGTGTCCTTTGACCTTTGTGTAGGCCCTGACGTTTCATATTGTTTTCCCAGATTGACGTTGCCTGATGGGTCCCAATCACAGATCCACCAAAATACATTGGTCTCAAACCGGGCTCCCATCTGGGCTCCGGGCTGTCCACATGGAGTCACATCTAGCTATGCATCTCACTTGGCCAAACACACCCCTGCCAAGCGAGAGAAGTTTATACCAACCAGCCTGATGCAATGATATGATAGAATACCATCCCAGTGTCAAGACCAAAGAACAGCCCAAACAAAAAGAAAGATTGCATTTCATTGCACTTGGGCACTTGGGTCTTCGGTGATGTATATGCCATCACCAACTAACAAACCTGCCTTTGCATTGGACCAGCGTTTTCGGCTGTTTGACTACGCCATCCAAGTGAAATGCCTACCATGGTTTGTGGGCTTACGTACCGTGTAGCCCACCGTTGGCCAGTTGAAGAACCTCATTGAGAGTTGCTTCGATTTGCACCCCCATGCGTTTCACAAGTCAGCCCAAGCATTGGTCTGCGAAAAAGAACCCCGGAGGCAGTACCAGAGTCCCCTTCACAAAACCAATCCCCAAAACATCTGCTCCCAAGTCACCAAGGTATCCCAAGGTGGCCTATAGGTATCTCAAACCACCCGGTTCCCCGCTCCCCACGATCGGCCCAAACCCCGTTGGGGCCGCACCTGGGCCGTGCCGCGCCGGGTCATGGGACGCAGTTCGGTGAGTGGGTGGAGCCTCCATAGCCACCCCGGCCGCAGTCGCCTCGGGTCACCGGTCGGAGTGGGGAAGGACCGTTGGGTCCTTAACCATCCAACATCCCAACTGGTAATGACCTTTCTCTTCCTTTCTCTTCTTTTCAGTATTTTGGTGTGTCTCGGTTCTTTATCTGTTTCTGGCCTTTTCTTTTCTTTCTTCTTTCTTTCCTCTTTCTTTTCTTCGCCCTTCATCTTCGCCCGTCGTCTTCTGCCCAGGCGCGGCAGCAGGTGTCGTAGGGATTCCCGGACTTCGTGGTCCCCGGCGCCACCTTGCGCCCGCACGCCATCTTGCCTCGGGTTGCCGCAGCTCGTCGCAGGTCGATCTGTAGGAGTTGGGGAGCTGACCGGCAAAGCGATGCAAAGCTCAAGAGGATGTGATCAAGACCAACCACAGAAATTGGGAGGCGCAGATCAAGTTCCTTGGTGAAAAAGTACTCATCGTCCGGCATTTAGCACAAAAAAACACATAAAAACACACACTTCCTTGACTGAGTCACATGCCAAGTCTGGAAACCATCTCAAAACATTCACAACCTCACGGTCCTCACATCCTCCCGAGCCAATCAGCTTCACCAAAAAAAACCATCAAATCCTCCCAGCCACGCACCTGCTCTTCCCACATCTATCCACCCATGTCACCTCCACCACCCCCTCACCCTTGCTCCCAGCGGCACATGCCCGGCGCCACGGCCACAGACACGCGCTCGCCAGCGCCGCAGTGCCGGTCGTGGCTCATCCCCAGGGCACAGCCACGACAGCAGGTGGTCAACGGCCGGCCCTTTGCATCGCAGCCTGGTGGGGGTGCAACGCGGAGGACCCCACTTCTGCCAGGGTTTAGGGGTGCCTGGTGGGGTGCCCAGGTACCCTGGTGGGGTGCTAGCAGGCGTCCTCCAAGAGGTCTATCAATAGCTCCTTCCTTAGAGGTGAGGTGTCAATTAACCGTTAACCACCACTGGTGGAAGCCCACCAGCGCCTTCTTTGCGCCGACCAGCTCAAAAGGACTCAACAAAAGACTTATCTTGCATGTCCTCTTCAAAGCCTGCCTTTATGCAGCAACCGCATATCCAAGGGTCAAGGGCAATGTTCAGTTTGGGATTGGAGGCTTCCTTTGGAAAGGAAACCTCGAAACCTAGACCCAACACACGACCCAAATTGCCGCCAGTGTTTTGATGGAGGATGCTCCGTGCTTGAGATCCCCGGCCGGAAAAAAGAGCCCAGAGTCGTCCGATCAGTCTCGCATCACACACATCATTCAAAACGACTTTTGGTCTTTAGGAGGGTTCGACCTCCATTGGAGAAAGTGCTCCAAGAGTGTGAGTCCAACAACAGCAACAGCAGCAGAAGGCACCCTGACCGCCTTTGGCGACCTTCTTGCCACAGCCGTTCTTGCACAAGCCAGGCCCCACCTGATCCAATCGACTCTGACACAGTGCGGCGTCGAGAACAGTTCGGACAGGAGTGCAGCAGCCAAGCAAGTGGAAAGCCAATGAGAACTGAGAGAGACTAGAGAGAGAGAGAGAGGAAAGACAAGAATGGTTCATCAAATCCATCAGAATACTGTATAAAATTAGGTCCATAAAAATCATATAAAATCAGAAGAGATCAGAATTCATATATCAAGTCAAGGACTCCTTACACCCGTCTTCAGTAGTCAGTAGTCCTAGGCCACAAGGGGGTCGGGCGTGTGGCAGGGGTGTCACGCATGCCTGAGGATCCAACGTACCACTCAGAGAAAAAGAACACATCCTAGGAGTCACCATGAAGGGGTGGTCTTTAGTCCCATCCAGTGAGTGTTCTGGGGATCCCCTATCCTCCAAGTTCGGCACCCATCTTGTGACTCCTGGTTCATTTGCGAAGGTCTTGAGGACTTGCAGAGTTCTCGTGTCCTGGGCCTGGGTATCTCCCAAGGAATCGATGATGAACTCTCCTGTCAGACAGTGTGGCTCCCCAAGTCCTTTCCCCGTCACCTTCTCCCAGCTGCACCTCACCCCCCTCCTCCCCCCCACGCGCCGCGGAAGACTCGCGCCGCACGTGCCGCGCGCGGCGCGCGGCGCGCGGTGCCTTGGAGGGATCGATCTGCCCGCAGCGCTGATCGTGGCCGAAGCCCATGACGCCTCGGCCGAGCGACTGGAAAAACCCGACGCAACGGACATCGGCAGCGAGGTCAGAACTTCTGGGCGTGGCGCCAAGCGGGAAGGCGTCACAGGGATCTTCCGAAAAGGATTCAGCTGCAGCAGGGGAGGTTGACATGAAAATACTATCAAGTCACCTTAACAAGCATCCGTAAGCTTGACCAGGAGAAAGAAGGTTGACATAGATTGAGGTGGGTGCGCACGGGTTTTGGTGTGTGTTTCAGGTTGGGTCAGGAGTCAGGAGTCACCCACTTCAAATCAGCCCAGTCAAACCCGCCGCTTTTATAAGTACAACAACTGCTGCAACAACGTGTTGCATTTTAATCCTCACATGTGGCAGTGATCTACCACCACCACCACCACCACCACCACTCTAATCCCAAGTTGTGTGACTCAAACCCTATGACTCCAAGATACTCATTCCATGGATACCCTGAACCCTTCAGATCACCAGCCCCCCCACTTCAGTTCTACCCCAAGCGACAGCCGCGGCAGCAGGTGGCAAACGGCCGCCCCGCGCGCGTGACGCCGGGCGCCACCTTGCGGCCGCAGCCCACGCGGCAGTAGCCCGGCGGCACCTGGAGCGGGCCCAGCTTGGTACAAATCACTCAGGAACGAACTGGTGAAAGAGACTCATATTGGACGATATGATGGAAGGAAGGCCTATAGACTTCCCAACTTTGGCATTTGCTGGTGGAGGTTGTCTTCTTCTTCTTCTTCTTTCTTCTTCTTCTTCTTCCCAGCGGCCTGGCAACCTAAACGAAGCAACTGCTACAGCTTTTTTCTCCGGTCCAAGTGGCCCCTAGTGGTGAGGCTCCCT